TCCAAAATCCATTGAAAAACCCAAAACCACCCACCCCACCTCTTGGGAATGTGGGTATCATGGTCTTAAAATTACTTCCTGCTGTCTGGGGATGAAGGCATCTTTAGGGGTTCCTGAAAAGAAAAATGTTGAGTTAATTGTCAAGTCCTGGGAGAGGTAGCTATATCATTTGTTGTCCAGTATCTGCATAATGTGAAAGTGCAGGGCTTATCTCAAGTCCTTGCTCCTTTGAGGCTGGATTATCTCAGCTAGCCAGCTGTCTCTGTCATTCTAGATTTTTGGAAGTTGCTTACAATGTTCTTCCTATTTACATAGGTAATATTATATCCTTCTGGGGTCTCTGATGTAGTTGAAGACTAGATAATTATAATTTTCCTTCGTTATCATAAAAGATAAATTAGATATGAAACCTTAGACTCACAAATATAGGATAGATAAAATATTTTCTTTAAATTTGCCAAATATAGACTAGATAGACTGCTAAGCAGTGTGGACCTCTGCCCACTTCTAGTTTTGGGAAAGCCAAGCTGAAAGCTCATGCTGAGCACTGCATTCAGCCTTCCTAGAGCTCTAAAATGTCAATGCTTGTGCTGTGGCAAGCATTTTTATTTAAATTTTTGTTTCTACTTAATGTACTGGCTGCTCAAGGGCTCACCTTGCAGAAACTCTTAAAGGAGCCATAACCTCTCTTTTTTTTCCCTCAGCTTTCTTAAGCCTATGTAGAAATTGGGCCCCCATTGGAAGGCCAAATGTTGTTTTTTGATGTATTGGGAGCCCACCATCCAGTTCCCAAATAAATCATACATGGAGGCTAATTAATTCCTAATTACGAACGCCTGGCCTTAGCTTGGCTTGTTTCTTACCAGTTTTTCTTAACCTAAATTATCCTGTCTACCTTTTGCCTCTGGGCTTTTACCTTTCTCTATTTCTGTATATCTTTCTTTCCTAGTCCATTGCTGGTTCTGTAGCTGGGTGGTTGGCCCATGATGTCCTCTTCCTTCTCTTGCTCCTTCTCTCCAATTTCTCCTTCTATATATTCTCTCTGCCTGCTAGCCATGCCTATACTTTCCTCCTTCCTTGCTATTGGCTGTTCAGTTCTTTATTAGACCATCAGGTGCTTTAGACAGGCACAGTAACACAGCTTCACCGAGTTAAACAAATGCTACATAAACAAAATTAACTTTGTCATCCAGTATTTGTTAAATTTATTGCACTGTGTTAACATCTTAAAGTGAGGTATGGTTGATGCTCAGCATAAGAACACTTGTCCTGTGTGCAAAGTTCTGGGTTCAGTGTAGATCACAATAAGGAAAAAGGGGGTGGAGGAAGCTGGCTGTGATGGTGCACATCTATAATACTAGCCCTTTGGAGGCTTCAGGTTTGAGGTCAAGCCTTGGCTAAATAATGAGTTCCAGGTTAATCTGGCTACAGAGTAAGACTCTGTCTCAGAAAATGGAAAAAAGAAAGAAAGAAAGAAAGGAAGGAAGAAAGAAAGAAAGAAAGAAAGAAAGGAAGGAAGGAAAGAAGGAAGGAAGGAAGGAAGGAAGGAAGAAAGAAAGAAAGAAGGAAGGAAAGAAAGAAAGAAAGAAAGAAAGAAAGAAAGAAAGAAAGAAAGAAAGAAAGAAAGAAAGAAAGAAAGAAAGAAAGAAAGAAAGAAAATGAAGTAGGGGCCACAGATGGGGCTTAGATGGTAATGTGCTTGCCTAAAATGTAGAAGCCTTCCTTGAGTTCTATCCCCAACAGCACAGGGCCAGGCAGGATGGTGCATGCTGTACTTTTAGCACTCATAAGGTAAAGACAGGAAGATCAACAGTCCTAGGTCACCCATGCCTACATAGTAAGTTTGAGACCAGACTGGGCTACTGGTGACACTTTGTCTCAAAACACCCCAAGGGTTGGAGAGTGATTTATCAATTAAGAGCACTGCAGTTCATACCAGCACCCACATGATGGCTTACAACCCACCATAACTCCATTACCAAGGGTCTTACACCCTCTTTTGGTCTCTTCAGGAATTTCACACACCTGGTATACTGATATACATGCAGGTAGCACACACACATAAAAATAAATCTTAAAAAAAAATCTAAAAAAAAATTAAAAACCACAAAAATATCATTAAAATCAAGAAGCGCAGAAGTCCTGGATTACACTCAGCCTTCCTTTACCCTTGCACCTATCCAGGCCAAAGGCCAAAGGGCTTTGTTCTTATTTTCACAAGTTTCCCATCGTGTAGTAATGGGACTAATCCATGGAGTCTATTTTATGAGCAAAGGAATTTATTTGGGGGTTAATTCACAACCATGGGAGATTTATTTTAGAGTCCGAGAAAGTTGAGCTATGTCCCACGCTGATCTGCCTGGTCCAAGATCTCAGCATCCAAAACCATGACATAGCAAAGAAAGAGAGACTGTAGTGCATCCCAGCTCTTAAGGGTCCCCCAGTGGCCACACCCCAGGGGCATGTACATTAACGTCATACGCAGGTATAACAGCTACCTGCTACCTCACTGGGGGGGGGGGTGCTTCAGGGCATGGCTCAAACACCCACCCACTACAGTGTGGCACCTTCGGGGCTATTTTTGAAACTTCATTGGTTTATCCAGAAAAACATTGTTAAACCACGTGCATTTGAAAGATTGTTTTGGGTAGTGCTACCCACTTACTGTAGGGGGAAAATAGTTAATATATGAAGAAAATATGTGGTTTATACAAATTGCCAACTTTATTAACAAAGAGGTAAAGGTCTGAGGTAGAAAGCTCAAGTCACAAGTGTTTACTGGACATCTGTAATAGATTTTCTGCCCACCCATAATAGGTTTCTCTGCCAACGCAGTAAGCCGGATCAAGGCGAATTGAAAAAGTGTAAGAACTGGTTTATTTGAGTGAAGCAATTCCTGACGGGTTCTCAGTCCCAGAGATCAAGGCCAGAGAAGCCGCACCCCTGAACTAAAGCAGGGAGATTATATAGGTTGTAGGTGAGGGGTGATGAGGTTTCTGCCACAAGCTGGGTTTGTGCCTAAATATGGTCAAACGCTGCCTGCTTTAGGTGGAGACTTGGGTGGCTGGCAACTTCAGGGGAGGAAGCGGCAAGCGGCTGCCAAGAATGCCAAAATGGGCTTTTTGGTACCTTCCTTTACTTCAGAGAGTCTCTGAGTGGGCGGGGTTTGGAGCCATAGGAATGGGGCTTCTCAGTGTAGATGGAGCTGGAGGTTCCAATGAACAATATGCCTTGTCCAGGTTGTTGAGGCAGACAGAGGTGCTTAGCTGGGTGGCGGAGGCTCCTCTGACAGTGTGTGAGGCCCTGGGTTCAGTTCCCAATCACACAGAGATACTTCCTACACTTCCCGCCTTCAAACTACCTACCGTCTAGTTAGGAAACAACCAACTCTCACCTCCCCCCACTCCAGTCCAGGATTCAAGGGTTAAATAACAAAACTGGACAAAGCCAGAAGAATGAAGGAAGGCCCTTGTCTGCTTGGGTTTCTCAGTGTGTTTTAGTCTTAGGAATCTCAGCCATCTAAAAACCCCTGTAGAAGTTTCATCAAGAAGGTACACAAATGATGGGTTTGCAAACAACAAGAAGCAGATAGCCCGGGAGAGGCTTGGAAAGAGTGGAGTCTGGGGGACTGGGAGATGGCTCAGCTGCGAAGGTCCTTTGATCTCTCTGAAATCCACATAGAGCGATCAAACTGATTCCCACAAGTCGTCCTCTGACCTCCCCACCACCATTTTGTGCACTCACAGTAACAGTAAATTACAAAAGAATGGTGTCTTGCTGAGTCAGGGTGGGGGGTGGGGTGGGGTGAACCAGGTGGGAAGGGCCAGCCAGAGACTCTCTTTTAGAAGGTACTCTCCCAGAACGGTCACCATTTTCATCAGAACAGTGGTTAATTACTTGCAAGAAATCTTTTGACTGAGCCTTATCTGAGATTCCAGCTGCTCTCTTCTACACTTCGGAGCCAGTGGTATGTGATTTGACTCTCATTGCCTGTGGCCTTATGGTCTTGGAGGTGCGAGGGTATGTAAAGGGTGATCTCCTAACAGAAAAGAGGCACACCATTTGTACAGCTGTGGGGAAATCTTCATCCATGCAAGGGTATGTGGCTGTTTTGGGGTCACCAAAACTCCTTCAAGTAACCCCTCACCCATGTTCTGTCAAGTCTAGTAACCTCATTGGTTCTCCAAGACGGAGTTCGGTGGAATTGAACTCTGTAGTTGGGGAAACCATAAGGAGAGTATTTACAGTCTTCCCAAGGAAAGAGTTCCACCAACAGCAATCCAGAGGAAACGTCAGAGTAGAAACTGCAGATTATTCTTAGGGAAGCAAGGTCGCAAGGTCCACAGCGGTCTTTAAAACTAGACTTCCAACTCAGAGAGCTCACACTAGGAGTCTCAGTCCCCGGGAGGTTGAGGCAGGAGAACTGTGGCCCAGGCCACCAGAGAGACACTTTAATAAAAAACAAAAAACTAAGCAGTCAGACGTGGTGCCACACACCTTTGATCCCAGCACTCTGGGAGGCAGAGGGATCTTTGAGTTGGAGGCCAGCTTGGTCTACACAGCAAGTTCCAGGCCAGCCAGAGTTACATCATGAGACCCGGTCTCAAAAACCAACCAACCAACCAATACAACAATAACAAAAATTAAGCTGCCGAATGCCGGATATTCCCTTTCTTTTCCTCCCTCCCGGGTTTCTGCCCTTTAAAGTCAGAACCTGATTGGTCAGTCAGGGACATTCCCAGCTGCGGGTGATGAAAGTGCACACGAGCTCTCCAGAATCTGAAGGCACGTGGATGGGTTGGATCAGGTAGAACGAGTAGCCGAACATTCGGCTTTTGTGAACAACATCTGACCCTCCGACGTGCACCGAGGCTTAGGGAGACAGGGTCGCCATCAAAAGGCATTTTCCAAAGAGGTTCCTGTCTTCTCATCTTACGGTTGTCTATTGATTGCGCGTAGCTCTCAATCACCACAGATGGGGCATTAATAACGCGGGTGCGATGACACCGCTCTCAGAGGGGCCTGAGATCCAGAAGTGCACGGAAGGATTCCTGAAAACGCCAGTTTCCGCCCAGGGGCCTCTGCAGCACCCGCCGGGTTCTGCAGCTCCGGGCCTCAGGGTCCATTGGCCGGCCGGGATTTGGGGACAGCCCGGGATCTCCTCGCCTGCAGCCAGCAGATGGCTCTCGGGCTCTCTCTACAGCTCCATCGACCCCTCTCCAGACGCAAGCGCCTGCTGCACCGGAGCGAGGCTGCGAGGAGGGGCGCGGAGCCCGGCGCCGCCGCAGCCGTCAGGGAAGCAGCCACCGCAGCCGAGCTCCGCGTCGGTCCCCGGGCTGTGCCCCGCGCCGGGCACCGTGCGCCCAGGCCCGGAGGCCGGCCGGGGACCCGTGCGGAGGCCGCTCTCGCGAGGCGGGGAGGAGACGCAGGGGGACCAGGAGGAGGAGCAGGAGCGGGTGAAGGAGAGGAGGAGGAGCGGGAGAAGGGGAAGGAGGAGAGCAGGGCCGACCCGCCCCTGCCCAGCCCAGCCCCGCTGGAGGCCGAGACCAGCCGGGCCGCCCAACCCTCGCCTTCCGCTTCACCTACGCCCAAGGTGCGGCGCAGAGGCCCGGCTGCGCGGCGCCCGCGCGAGGAGGAGCCGGTGCTGCAGCCGCCTTGCATTCGGCCCCGGGAGCTGCGAGCCGAGCGGGCGGCATGTAGCGGCGGCCGCAGAGCCAGCTCGGATTTGCAACTCTTCGGAATTTTTTTTTTTTGGGGGGGGGGGGCGTATTGCGGGCGCGCGGCAACCTTGGATCAACGCCCCGCTGCTTCGGCCCACTCTTCCCTTGCAAGCTGCGGCTCCCTCGCGGAAACATTAAAGGGTTTAGGGAAGGGCGCGGGGCCGAGAGTCAGAGTGGGACCCGGGATCTCCCCGCGCCCAGTGGGCAACCATGACCGACGAGAGCTCCGATGTGCCCCAGGAGTTGATGGGTAAGCTTGGCGCGGTGGCCGACTGGCTATCTTCCTCTGTGCACACCTCCTCTCCTCCTCCCTTTCCACCTCCGTCCTCCCGCAGAGTCCCCGCGCCCTGGCGCGCGAGAGGTGTGGGGCAGGGTTGCCGGGGGGCGCCTAGAAGTTTGCTGGCCTGATGGCCGCAGGAGCGGGGTCCACAGAGAAGAAGGCGTGGGGAGGCATCTGGAGCCCTGGAGGGCTCTGGGCGGGTCTCCCTGCCCTGCCCCACCAGGTGGGTCAGGTTGGCGGAACATGGAGCTGGAGGGGCGTCCCTTCCAGCGGCCGGCCCCGTGACCCCTAACTCGGGAAAGTCCGGGAAAGCCTAGCAGGAGGATGCCTGGCGACAGCATTTAGGTCCCCGCGGCTGGTGCCAGGCACCCTCCAGGAAATTCCCGTCTGGGGCTGCCCCTCTCACCGACAGCCTCAGGGATGGAGGCGCCGGCCCAGCGTCAGGACCGGGTCTGGCAAGGCGTGGCTTAGGGGATGGAGCTGGAAGCGAGAGGGTTACTCGACTGACGTCTACTAGGGCCAGGAAATGGAGGGTTAATGATAAAAGCCTCATTTTAAAAATGATTTACCTACCGACCACCCCCAGTCTCTTTGGGAACACGTATGTGGTACTCTGTGCCAGGTGACCGGTCGCTTGAGGCCCTCCTGGTTGGCGGCGGGCTGGAGGGGCGGGCGGGGGGAGGCTGTCCTCTTTTGGAGTGGAGGGTGGAGAGAGCATTGCTTGGAATTTAAGTCTTGGGGCTTTGCTTTAGCAGGAAAGGTTAAATGGTAAATGACAAATGGCCTAGGAGTGCTGGGAACCAGCGCTCACGCTCTGGTTGTGGAGTATGTTGACTTGCATTAAGGTGAACTTGTCAGCATGGGCGTGCTTTGAGCCTCTGTGACCTGTATTCCTTGAGGTACCATGCTGGGCCTTGATGTTTCCTGGGTGCAGACCAGGAGGGAAAGCTTTCACTGAAGGTTCACCGCAGGCTGGACTTTGCCCCTTTGCTACACGTCGTCCTCGCAGCTTATACTTGAGAGGACTTGGTGTCCCCTTGTGAAGCTGCTTACTCTGCAGGTGAAACTTGGCGGGAAGAAGCTGTTGCTGGTTTTGTATGGAACTTTGCTTTTGTTGAATTAAAGACACGCCGCCACCGCCACCACCACCACCACAATAACAAAAAAATCGAGTGATATACTCTTGCACACCCCTATTTTGTTCCAGGCCCTCTCCCCAATCCCGGGAGTCAGTTCTGAGACATCAGCGAGTGGCCCATCAGGTTCTGGGTGTTTCCAACACCCTGCCTGAACGGGAGACTAACACTGGATGCTCCAAGATGCCTCCAAGGGTGTAGATTTTTAGAAAGTTGTGTAGCGTTGTCCTGGGACCTGAAGTTCAGGTGATTTAGACTCGGGAAAATGTGGAGGGTGAGGGAAAAAGGCTGTTTTTAATCAGCGGTTTTCAGTACTGCAGTATGCTTAAAAGTTGAATTTGACCCCTCTTTTGCAAGGAATTTTTGTGCTTATTCACTATTGTGTCTCGGTGATGTTTGGAAGGACAGCAGCTGGCAGGATCCTTCTCTGGCTAAATCATTTAGTGTATTTCTCCACCCTCCTTCTGTGATATGCCTAATAGCATTTTTCTAGGCCTTTACATGGTCTCTTTTGGCTATGTTGGGAAAATACACCTGCTATTGCTTCTACTTCCAGGGACTCATAAGATTTCTGATTAGTTCAAACCACCAGACTGCAAACGCCTCACTGTTGTCTCCTGAATGTCTCTTTGGAGGCCTGTGAGCTGTGTATGATTAAGATTTTTTTTTTTTTGATGGAGCTCTTATAGCCCAGGGTGGGTGCCAACTTACTATGTAGCTGAGGCTGGCCTTAAACTGTTCTCACTCCTGCCCCAGTCTCCTGTGAGCCACCTCTTGAATTTTGTAGAACAGTTTTAAATGCAGAAAACAA